AGTGTGTGAGAGAGGGAAAGAAAAGGGGGAGAAGGAGAGAAAGAAGGAAGAAAGGAAGAAAGAAAGAGAGAAAGAGAAAAAAAAATAAAGTCTAGAGTATACAGATACAAGGAGGGAGAGTGTTCTGGGGAACTTCCAGAGTGCGGGGGGAGCTGCCTTCAGAGTGGCCACACCAGATGGCTTCTTCTCTCCTCCCTGCTTGTGCTGAGCAACTGAAGACAGCAAATAAGGTAGTGAGCACTGGTCCTTGGGCTGGAGAGGCCAGGCGGGATGGATCCTCTCTCATTCAGAAGACAAACTAACAATATACCTAATCCACCAGCACACTCTCATCTATACTCCACACTCACTGGAGGCTGTGACAGACAGAAATGGCATCCATACACAAGTAAACATGGAATCTTCAACACGATAAAAAAAATCAGACATTGAGAAAAACCAACGCTGTGAAAGAGAGGTACCAAAAAACAACAGATGACATCTGAGACAGTTATTAATAGCACAAAATAAGATTTCAAAATAATATAATAAAATTTATTAATCTCAGAAAGGAATATGAAAGTAAACTGCATTCATAAACTTGAAACAGGCTACAAGGAATAATATACTAGAAATCAAATGCAAATGTTAAAAAAAAAAATCTCACCAGATGACTCAATAAAAGAAATGGACCCAACACTGAACTAAATTAATGAGCTGAGGAGCTCACACAGAATGTAGTACAAAAGGAAAATGAAAAAGAAAATGAGAGTTTAGTTAAGAAATGCAGGACAGATCCAGAATCTCACTCACTCATCCAACTAAGGCTGAGAGTCATAGATAACTGTTTCAAGTTCTCAGAACTCAGTTTAAAACTTGTAGGAGAGACCTCTAATTGGCCCTGTTCATCTGTGCATGTCAAATCACATGTTCATTTATAGATGGGATGCCCTTAACTGCTAGACTGTTAAAGGCGACTAAGTGGTATAATAAAAGCATGAGTAGAGTGAAGTCCAAGGAAGGGTGGACCCTGGGGTGAATATGACAGAAGAAGACTTCACAGAGGAGTAGACAGGTTGGGCTCTTAATACGCCCTTGTGTCTAGTAACTTTGCTGAACTCATCTATTAATTCTAATAGTTAATCTGCAGATCCTTTAATTTCTATGAATACAATAATGTAAGTAATGCCTTTTTCTAATTTTCATATATTGATTTTTCTTGTCTTATTGTATTGGCTAGAATCTCTATCAACAATGTTAAATAAACTAAGTGATAGTTTTTGTCTTTCTCTTGTTTCCAAACTCAAAGGGAAAGCTTCTAATATTTTACCATTAAGAATGTGGACTGCTGATGGCTTTACATGTTATTCCTTTATTAGATTTTTAAAATTTATTTATTGTTGCACTGGGTCTTTGCTGCTGTGCACAGTCTTTCTCTAGTTCCAGTGATGGCGGTTACTCTCTAGTTGCAGTGTGTGGGCTTCTCACTGTGGTGGCTTCTCTTGTTGCAGAGTGCTGACTCTGGGCACGTGGGCTTCAGTAGTGGCAGCGTGCAGGCTGAGCAGGTGAAGTTCACAGGCTCTAGAGTGCAGGCTCAGTAGTTGTGATGCACGGGCTTAGTTGCTCCGCAGCATGTCTTTATCAGATTTTAAGCTTCTTTCTATTCCTAGTTTCCTAAGAGTTTTTAAAATGGATGATATTAAATTTTATCAAATGCTTTTCCCCCACTGATTTAAGATGATTGTATTAGTCTTCTTTATGCAATCAATGTGAATTACACTGACTGATTTTCTGATGCTAAACCAGCCTTGCAATTTCTGGAATAAACCCAACTAGGTTATGATATAGAAGTCTTTTTACATTATTGGCGGATTTTTGCTTCCTTATTCATGAGTAAGACTGGTTGTAAATTCCATTCTCATATTATTCTTGTCAGGTTGTGCTAAGTTCATAAAACGAACTAGTGAGTATTCTTTTCTGTTTTCTAGAAGGTTTAGTTAATATTGATTATTATTTCTTCCTTAAAATGTTGTAAGTTACCAACAAAGGCACGTGGGCCTAGAGTTATCTTTGTGAGAAAATTTTTAATTATGTATTGTTTTAAAATAGATACAGAACTATTCAGTTTTCTATTCCTTCTGTGTCAGTGTTGGTAAACTGTATATTGTTTCATTCTGTTTTTTAGTTGTTTCATTCCATCTGTTCCATTTTCAAGTTTATTTGCATAAAGCTGCTCATTAAATAGTTTTCTAAAGGAAAAAAATGTGTGCAGGATTTGCAGTAACGTCCCTCCCCCCTTTTAATTTCTAATTATTTGTATCTTCTTTCTTTTTCTCTTGGTCACTCTTGCTAGTGATTATCAATATTATTCTTTTCAAAGGTCCAATCTGTGGTTCTTTCAATCCTCTCTACTGTACTTCTTCCCCTATATCATTAATTTTTGCTCTACTTATATTCCTTTCTTCTTTTCTTTACATTTAATTAGTAGTTCTTTCTCTCATTTATTGAGAGGCCTGTTCTTTGTTTTCCAACATATGCTTTTATAAAGTGGTGATCTCAACCTTAGCTGCAAGTTGAAATCACTTGAGCTTTTAAATGCTTGAGTTCCACCCCTACAGATTCTGATGTAATGGCTCTGGGATGTAGCCTGGGCATCAAAAGCTCCTCAAGTGATTCTACTATGCAGTTAAGGTTGAGAACCACAGATTTAAAGCTATATCCTCTAAATACACTTTTTGTTTTCTTTAAAAATGTTTATTTATTATTTTTAACTGAAGCACAGTTGATTTACAATGTTGTATTAATTACTGCTGTTCAGCAAAGTGATTCAGTTATACACATACATTCTTTTTTAAAATATTCTTTTCCATTATTGTTTAGCATAGGATATTGAATGAATACAGTTCTGTGTTATACAGTAGGACTTTGTTGTTTATCCACTGTACATATAGAAGCTTATATGTGCAAACCCCAGCTTCTCACTGCAACCCTCCCCCAACTCCTTCTCCCTTGGTAGCCACCAGTCTGTTCTCCATGTACCTGATTCGATTTCTATTTCATAGATAAATACAACTTTAACTCTGTCCCACAAGCTCTTAATATTTTCATCATTTAGTGCAAATCATTTAAAATTTTCTGCCTTGTTTTAATTTAAATAAAAAATTTAAAATGGGCAAATGCAATATATTGTTTTAGTGGTTAGGTAAATGGTCAGCTTTGGGAAAGAGGAAAGGGTCTGTCACTAAGGTAAATATAAGGTAACTTCTAGGATACTTGTAATACCCTGGGGCAAAAAAAAACTCTTGTCCCAGGTAATAATAGTTAAACGAGAGTATTCAATTTGTGATAACTCATTAAGCTTACAATTTCTAAGTGTATAATATAAAAATATTATACTTCAATATATATTTATTAAAGAGAGAAGACAGATCCCATACAAACAGTGGAAATGATAATGACACTAACTTTCTCAATATTAATACTAGAAGCTAGAAGAAACAGCATAATGCCTTCAAAATTCTTTTTTTTTGGCCACAACGTGTGGCACATGGCACTTATCTGACTAGGTACGGAACACATGCCCACTGAATCAGAAGCACAGAGTCTTAAAACTGGACCACCACAGAAGTCCATGCTTTCTAAATTCTGATGGAAGGTGTTTCTAACCTAGAATTCTGTATTCAAATTTCAATAAAATGTGAGGGTAAAACTAAGACATTTTTGGACAGGAAAGGTCATAGAAAAGTCACCTCTACATGCACCTTTCCTCAGAAAAAACTTCCTGGAGAATGTGTATAAGGTGGGAATAAACAGGGGGACGAAGACACGGGATGAAGGAGACAGAAACTTCAACATAAGAAGGCTAAAGAAATTCCCAAGATGACAGTTGTGCAGCAGGCCTCAAAAACAACTAGTGCACTTGGGAGCAGCAGGTTTGGGTCCTAGAGCAGAGGCAAGAGAATTTGTGATAATTCTCTTTATGTTTATGATTATCTAGGCCAAGAGAAACTAAAACCAGGAAAGTATCTTCTTGTGTTTGACCACATCAAGAGAGTGTTCAGTTCTGTCAAAGTATAGGGGTAAATCAAGGGTAGCTACATAGAAAACCAAACAATTAAAAACCCTAAATATGGCAAATATTACATTTAGTACAAGCAAAAAGTGATTCACCCATCCAAAAAATGGGGACATATAATTAGAGTTCAACTCAGCAGCAAATGGGAGGTTTTATGGTTATAACAACATAAATAGGGACTCCTGATTTAGCCAAACATTGTGATATAACTATATTACATAAGTGGGATGAAGGGGAATCTATATGTGTTTAGAGTGTGTAGGGAGTTGCTGGGAGAGGTAACATAAGATAATAAATCTTTATCTTTGATGCCCTTATCAGTAGGACATCAAAAGATAACAGAATTGAAAATCAAGAAAGAGTTTAAAGCATGGAGAAGTAAAAAACAAGTAAAATAATTTAAAGTTGTGGGACACGATGCTGTTGCTTCCTCTTACAAACACTGTAGCACTTTTTCAATTATGTGTAATAGTATTTTCTCAAAAATAATGTTAAACTGAAAAAGAAACTATAAAAACAAAAGGATCTCAAGGCCTAACAAACAATTTAGGTTTTAAACTTTTAGGTTTAAAACTCTAGATAATCACCTGAAACATCTCTTGAACAAGCAGCAGCATATATGTAGCTCACATCAGTAATCATTATTTTCTGTTATTTCAACTCCAAATCTTCCCCATATGAAAAGTCAAATTACCTACATTTTAGTATAGGGTACATGAAAAGCTACCTCAAAAAGCCAGAACATACAAACCAAATATCTTCATTTTATCAAATTAGATTGAACATACAGTATTGTAACTGACATGTAACTGTTCAGGAACATATATAAAGTTAGTTTGATCTGTTCTGCAAACACAAGATTATTCATTTACCTTTCATGGGTTGGTAATTAATTAAATTAAGTACCCAAATCAAAAGAACAGATAGGTTGTATAAGTGAAATTACCTGAAGAAGGTCACGAAGAACTGTACTAGGTCCATAAAATTGCTGTGCTGGGAGAATGCAATCTGTGACAGAAAACCAGGTAGAGTGATTAGGTTATAAGACAGAACCATCAACTCAGCCTTCTTGCTGAAGCAGAAAGACATTAACATTTCAAGAGATTAATGGAATTTTTTCACTTGAAGAAAAGCACCCATCCCTTTAGTTTTTCTTGCTTAACTGCCAAAGCAAAAGTGCTATTTTGAGACTCAAGACAAATCCCTATAGCCCCTGTGCTTGACACCAGATCTCAGTTTTTAGTCTGACCTGGAAGACATCTCAGAGGCCTACATCTAATGAGGTGGATGAACCTAGAGCCTATTATACAGAGTGAAGTAAGTCAGAAAGAGAAAGATAAGCATCGTATACTAACACATATATATGGAATCTAGGAAGATGGTACTGAAGAACTTATTGGCAGAGCAGCAATGGAGAAACACACACAGAGAGAACAAACCTATGGACACGGGGAGAGGGTGAGATGTATGGAGAGTGTAACATGGAAACTTACACTACTATATGTGAAACAGAGAGCCAATGGGGATTTGCTGTACATCTCAGAGAATTCAAACAAGGGTTCTGTATCAACCTAGAAGGGTGGGATGGGTAGGGAGGTCGGAGGGAGGTTCAAAAGGGAGGGGACATATGTATACCTATGGCTGATTCATGTTGATGTCTGACAGAAAACAACAAAATTCTGTAAAGCAATTATTCTTCAATTAAAAAAATAAACTATATATACATACAAAACCTAATGACAAGCACGTCAGTTTATCTGCAAAGAGTGGGACATGACAGAGCGACTGAACTGACTGACTGACTGTGCCCATATCAAGACAAAATGCTCTCCCCTTTTGCTTCAAATTCCAATTCTTGGATCTACCATGAGGTGGGCGGCCTCCTTTAGTGTCCTTCAACCTTTTTGACACTTAATGCTCACTTCAAGATAATGTCCCTTTAAAAAAAATACTTATCCCAAGTTTCACTACATTGAATATCATCTGACAATCAATATAACACCAATTGGAACCTAAATAATTTTATACCAAGAATATTACAGGGACTTCCCTGGTGGTTTAGTGACTAAGACGCCACACTCCCAAAGCAGTAGGCCTGGGTTCAATCCCTGGTCAGGGGACTAGATCCCATATACCAAAACTCAGACCCAGCACAGCCTAAATAAATAAGTATTAAAGAAAAAAAAAAAAAAAGAACATTGTAAAATCCCTAACATAGCTCATCAAATCTAAGACACCATTAAAACAGGTATTGTTTTGTGTACTTTTAAGAAAACCACTGATTTATACTATGACACAATGCTTTTAAAATCATTGTAAGGTGTATCAGAGATATTAGAACATGAAAAAATGTGCAGCTTAGAATTTACTACTAAGTATGATAATTGTGTCCTTACTACCCTATGATACACACGGTACTAGCCAGGAGTGTTCTTGGCTTATTTCTAAGGGACCACAGCTCTCCTTGGAGAGAGGATGGTGCTATAAATGAAACAATTATTGAATAAGACGATAATTATTCAAATAAAGACAAGAATGACAAGAATCATAGAAGTATATGATTGGCATCTTCTTTTCCTAATCCTGGCTACACACCCCCATCCCTTGTCAACTCCCACTGTATAAAATGCAAGAAAAGTGGTACAGCCTGGGCCCCAGCACAGTAACAATACTTTGCAGTCTTTTTATAGTCAGATTCACAGAGGATCAAGAGAGAAGAAGCGTCTAGTGTTTTTCTTTTTGACGCTCTTATGTTCTTTTTGACATTCCATAAATAAATAAAGGTCCAATACTACCTATTCAGGTCACAGAATATTAGGGGGCTTAGAATCTGAAGTTTTTGTGTTTGCCCTCTAGCCACCATTTATACTGAGAAATACAAACATACATAGACATTATAGATAAGGAGAAACCATATTCTTTGCTTTTCCTTCATTTATTATAGTAATCAATCCTTTAGGTCTCTTGAAAAAGGAAAACTGCAAAATATGGCTATAGTCATCACATAAAAGATTTTTATTTTTTTTAATTAAGAAACTGAATATTTTATTATTAAACTGTTTCTTATTTGCCTGCAAGGCTTCACTGTATAAAAATAGCACCAGCCAACACAGTATATTGCAAAATTAAGAGAGTAATATTCTTCATCAGACACTATACAACTAACAAACTTTCCCCACTGCCAGTTATTTCTAGTGGGAAGATCATTTTGACCCAAATATAGGGATGGCTATAAGCAAGTTACAATACTATATAAGGCTTAAGATAACCATGTTATCCTTAAATCACATAATTTTTCTAACTAGTTTTATCACAGATAATTTCAGGAATTCTGAATATTATAACTGGAGCCTAGTCTAAAAATCATTGGGTGCTGTGAAAAAGATGCACAATGTTTATCTGAAGTCATTAGGACATTAAGAGGTATTTTCTTCAGGAAACATTGTTATAAGTAGTTTCTTTTGCTAAAAGTTGCTTTTTAAATATCTATCCACCACTAATTTAAGACAAATATGCTTGATTAAGTTGTTTCAAACTAGTTAATTTAGGGGTTCCATTTTCACTGAATAGACTAAGTATTTCTCATCTGCTTCTTCACTCATTAGTTCATCTAGTTCTGAAGGGTTACTGAATGTCATCTTGATAACAAGCCATCTTCAGAACAAGATTTGTTGACAAGTCCTGGATTTTCTGCTTCAGCTTTATTAATTTCAGTTACTTCTCCTGAGTTCACTCCTGAACAGAGTTCACTACTAGCTTTCACACTTTCCAAAGCGCCGAACTCCTTTTGTTTGTTCAATTTGGTCCCAACTTCAAGCAGACTACAATAAACAACATCTCCCAAAGCTTCCTGTGCAAAATTACTGATTCCCACTGTTTCAATACTGTTTTCGGAGATTACCCTTTCACGTTTTTCGGTGAATTTCCTATCAGACAGCAGAGCGGGGCTGGTGCTAGCACCGGTAGGGCACCCGCCGGCAGCCCCCAGGGCCTCGGCCAACAGCGAGTTGCTTGCTGAGATAGCGCGCAGGCTGCCCACCACGGCCCGCCGGCTCCTCCCCGCTCGCAGCACCATGTTCGCAGACATAAAAGGTTTTTAATAAGACTGGAGAAAATCAATTATAAGAACAAAGTTATTCAGTCTTGAGGAATGAAGAGTCTAGGTTACAAGACATAAAGAAACAAATTCTAGGCCATCCAATTCTGTTTAGATTAATCTTTCAAAACAGCCAGTGTGGCTGGTCTCCAAGACTCACATTCTAAAAATGGTCTTCTTTTGTTGAATGTTCATTACCTAAGTCTCCAAAGTTACAAAGTTTCATAAGAAAACACAACATATGTACCACAGCTTCCTTATCCATTTGTCTGCTGATGGGCATCTAGGTTGTTTCCATGTCCTGGCTATTATAAACAATGCTGAGATGAACATTGGGGTGCATGTGTCTCTTTCAGATCTGGTTTCCTCAGTGTGTATACCCAGGAGTGGGACTGCTGGGTCATACAATGGAATGTTACTCAGCCATTAAAAAGAATTTACTTGAATCAGTTCTAACGAGACGGATGAAACTGGAGCCCATTGTACAGAGTGAAGTTAGCCAAAAAGATAAACACCAATACAGTATATTAACACATATATATGGAATATAAAAAGATGGTAACGGTAACCCTATATGCAAAACAGAAAAAGAGACAGATGTACAGAACAGACTTTTGGACTCTGTGGGAGAAGGCGAGAGTGGGATGTTCTGAGAGAATACCATTGAAACAAGTATACTATCAAGGGTGAAACAGATCACCAGCCCAGGTTGGATGCATGAGACAAGTGCTCAGGGCTGGTGCACTGGGAAGACCCAGAGGGATGGGATGGGGAGGAAGGCGGGAGTGGGGATTGGGATGGGGAACACATGTAAATCCATGGCTGATTCAGGTCAATGTATGGCAAAAAACACTACAATACTGTAAAGTAATTAGCCTCCAACTAATAAAAATAAATGAAAAAAAAACACACCAAAAAAAAAAAGAAAAACACAACTTATAACAATGTTTATGAATAGACTGACCACCTAGAAACATCTAGTCCTGCTTTAACACTCAGTCTTGTTGCTTAATCTTTTGATTAATGGGTGATGGATTTACTGTCCAAATTGAGAACTTCTGAGAGTGAAAGAGTGTTACTAAAAATTACATTGTGACAACAGGCATGAATGGGGCTGTCCCCTACTCAAAGACTGTCAAACAAGGCAAACCATCCGCAAAATCAGTCTTATGAAAAACGAGATTTTAGTGAAAGTGCTATTGGAAAACTGATTACACAAAACCATTGACAAATAAAGACTTGGCAGAATTACCAAGTGAAGAGGGATGAAAGATACAGATTTAAGTCCTCCAAAAACCTCTGAATATGATTGAGAGCATCTTGGGAAAACTGTTGAGACCTTTGGCTATTCTTTTAAATCAAGCTGTAAAGTCAAATCAGAAGTGAAGGACTCCATTCCTGCTGTCTTATCTCTGAGCACCATCTGCACAACTTCTATATTCTATAAGTCACACTTCCATATTCTTATCTTGCTCAATTTTTCTACATAGCCCTTAAATGTATACTTATTTATGGGCTTTTCTTCCACTAGAAAATAAGACCCATGAGAGACTTTGCCACTGTCTATCTCTAGTGCCTAAGACATGGCATGAAGAGGTTAAATAAATATTTGCTAAATAAAAGAATATGATAATTGGAAAAATAATGACCCATCTCTCTTCAAAATCAGTAAGACCTAATTGAGTTTTCCTCTAAGAACTGGTCCACAGTTGCAGCCATAATTTAATTTTGTTAACTGTACAATTAAACATTTTTCATAGTTGTGAGTTTCATTTTTCAAAATAATATCCCAATCAGACCTTTCTTTTGTGATTTACTATAAAAAACATTGAAATGTGTTTGTGGGTTTTTCTAATACTAAGGATAATGAAGACCTCTTATAATAAAATCTATTTAATATAAACAAGAAAAT